CTCGCCAGCATTTGTTATTTTCTGTCTTGTTGAACTTTGCTCCTAGTGCTGGAGCAAGATGGTACCTCATTTTTGTTTTGATTTGCATCTTTCTAATAGCTAATGATTGTGAGCATTTCTTCATATGTTTGTTGGCCTCTTGAATATCCTCCTTGGTGAAGTGCCTATTCATGTCTTCTGCCCATTTTTTAATTGGATTGTTTGTCTTTTTGTTACTGAGGTGTTGGGAGTTTTCTATAAATTCTAGAGATAAGTTCCTTGTCAGATATGTTATTACCAAATATTTGTTCCCAATCTGTAGGTTCTCTTTTGACTCTTTTGGAGAATCTTTGGAAGCACATAAATATTCAATTTTTAGAAGGTCCCAATCTTCTAGTTTCTCTTCTGGACCCAGTAATTTTTGTAGTTTGTAGGCATAATAGATTATTTGGGGAGAAAAGTACAATGTTCTTATGAGAAGAAGAAAGTATAGTGATGCAGTAGTTCTACAAATAGTATTGTTACTTCGCTAGTTTAAAAAAGTCTCAACAGCATTTAGTTTGGAATAATTAACAACATTATGGTGTATGTGTGAACAAGTAGGTATTAAAAATGAAAGTATTTTCTTGAAGAATGAAAGAAATTTAGTATCTTCATGGCCCTGTTAAAATAATTACTCTTACCAGGTTATGATTAAATATACTTTATTGTATTTTTCATTGTTCAGGATAAATGGCCTGGGTTTTTTTTGTCAAATTCTGATTTGGGTGAAAGTTTACAGAGCAAATTTGTTTGTTTTAAAATGTTTGTTGTGGTGAAAACATACACAACCAGACATTCGCCAGCATAACAGCTTCCACATTTATAGCTCAGGAACATTGATGACATTTTTCATGTTGTGCCACCATTATTGCTATCCTTTTTCAAAATATTCTCCTACTATTAGCATAAACTCGTTGTTGTTATGTGCTGTTGAGTTGGACCTACTCATAGCGACCCCTCCTTGGGTTTTCAAGGCATTATCACTATGGAAGTAGATTGCCCCATCTTCCTTCCGAGGAGTGGCTGGTGAGTTTGAACCACCAGCCTTCTGGTTAGCAGTCAAGTGCCTTAGGTGCTATGCTACCAGAGTTCCCAGCATAAAGTCAATGCCCTGTAAACAAAAGCTTCTCCTTTCCCCTTGCCTCCTACCCCTGGTAACCACTAATAATTTTTGGTGTATATATATATCTTAGGAATCCCTCCCCTCTCACTCCTGGTAACCAACAAAGAAAGTTCCCTTCCATGTGTAAGCCTTTCCTTGACTTTTTGCAATAGTGGACTAATACAATATTTGTTCTTCTGTGATTACCTTATTTCACTCAGCATTATGTCCTTCAAGTTTACCCACATTATACGGTGTTTTGCAGATTCTACACTATTCTTTAGTGTTGCATTGTATTCTGTTGTGTGTATGTACCAGAGTTTGATTAGTCATTCTTCCATTAATGGGCACTTGGGTTGTTTCCATCTCTTTGCTATTGTAAGTAGTGCTGCAGTGAACATTGGTGTGCATATATCTCTTTGTGTCCTGGCTCTCATTTCTTTAGTATATATATGTAGTAATGGAATTGCTGGATCAAAGGGTATTTCTGTTTCCAATTTTTTAAGGAATCGCTATACCGATTTCCACAGTGGTTGTGAGAGTTCTAATCTCCACATCGTCCCCAGCCTTTGTTACTTTTTGTCTTGCAGAACTTTGCTATTAATGCTGGAGTGGTATATCATTATTGTTTTGATTTGCATCTCTCTAATAGTGGCTAAGACACTTGCCTGCTAACCAGACGGCTGGCGGTTCAA